TAAAAACATTATTTTTGAGCCCCTGGGGTTAAATTCTCATAAGAGAAATTGTGTAAGTATCCTGTGGTTTCCTGTTGTCCTTTTTACCTTCTGCTGCTCATGGATTCTTCTATTTAAGCAATGTCATTGTTCAAGACCGGAATGTCATAGTTCACAGCGAACATTTCTTATGCTCAACTCTTTTGGCCTGAAAAATAATGTTTTTAAGACCCCGAAGGGCATTTATTTAAGCTGACCTCCTTCCGGATTTTTCCTCCAACTTCCCAGACACTTTCTTCCCAACCTTCTATAAAATCTAAAACCATCTCACATGCTGGTATGGAAGCTGAGAAGTACAAGGGAAAACGGGTGGGAAGAAATAGAATAAAGGATCACGAGCCTTGGTGGCGCAGTGGTTAGAGTGCAGTACTGCAGGCTACTTCTGCTGACTGCCGGCTGCCTGCAATTTGGCAGTTCAAATCTCACCAGGCTCAAGGTTGGCTCAGCCTTCCCGCCTTCTGAGGTTGGGTAAAATGAGGACCCAGATTGTTGGGGGCAAGAGGCTGATTTTGTAAACGGCTTAGAGAGGGCTGTAAAGGAAGTCTGTGAAGTCCACAAGTCTTAAAGTTGCCAACTTTGGCAACTACTGATCTAGGGGATCCATTAGACTTCCACTTCCTTGAGCCTTTGGCCCTAATGTCTTACAAAAGTTGAACTTCAGCGCATGAGATGTGAAGGCTCCTTTACGACATGGGTAGTGTCAGCTGACGTGGCTGTAGAGACCTGGGAATTCTGGAGTAAGGATATGTGAGCAGTTCCTTCAAGCTATTGCTCCACACCCAGAAGTCTTGTGAAACTGATCCATCTGGTTTAAAATGAAGGCTAAATATTTCTCCATGTTGTTAGGGCCATAGAGAATCGTCACTGACTACATCATTTACTGCATTACTTTGGGAAACACATAGTCTCTGGCATTTGATTCACTGGACCATTGCAACTCTGTCAAAAGATGCTGAGCATTGAATAGATAGATAAACGGATAGGGTGTTTGTTTGTTTTTCACTCGAATCCCAGAACGCTACAAAACCAGGATATAGTAAAATTTGCAACCAGAACCAACTAATATGTGGGCATTCTTACCTTAAGTAACTCCTGTACAAAGAGCTTTGCTTCTCCTTCAAGGTAATATTTTTGCAATCATGTTTTTTGCGCCTCTGTCTCTGTGTCTGCGTGACTTTTCTATGCAAATCTTCAATTTCACTCCTCCTAATTAAGCAATGGGGGCATCGAGCTAATTTTCTCCGCCTTTTTCTTGATGTACTAAGAATTAGCTATTCATGGAGAACAGCAGGAGCGTAGACATATTTTCTCAGCTTGTTTTTTTTCTCTCTCTCTCTCTCGGAGCTGTGATTGCGTTCCATTTCCGAAGGTGCTTAATTTGCAGATGTGGTTGGCATTCATTATCAGCACTGAAGCGTTCTCTTGGCCAACCGTGTGATTGCTTCATTTTGTCCACCAAATTTAGTCCCCCTCAAAAAAGAATGACGTCTGACATCATTGTCCGTCCCTGATGATTTAATTTTTTGCCCTTGTCCTACAGCAACTCAAGTGTCAATGGCAGAAAACTGGACAAATTTTCCTCACTTCCATGACCTTCAACTTGGCATGGGACCCTCAAGGTAACGAGGTGTGAATGTGGTCAAGTGTCAGAGGTGTGTAGAAGTGCAATAAGCTAATCTGCGGGGTGGGTGGGGGGTGTCACCTTTTGGTTTCCGTAGTGTAGAAGATAATAAGAGTGAAAAGCTTGTTCAGGAATCCACTATGTTCGTGTTTTTCGGCTCACAACTTTGCGCAGGTTGCCTTCAGGAAGTGAGGGGAGCCGCATGTCAACTCACAAAGGATCCCTGGCCTGCTCTCGAGCTGCCATAAGAAAGGGGGTGGGTGGAAAACTGATGAAACAGCATATCAGCAAAGGACAGGTGCACATTCCAAACTTATCTCTCACAAGGTTGTATCCCAGGTTACCCACAGCAGCCAGAGGGAGGGGGGACTGATCTCTACAGCCCGCGAAAGTGCTCCATTGGAGAATGTGATTTATGGCACCCCCCTGGGGGGAGGGGGGAAACAGGGTCATAATTGGGCTGTAAATTACGTGGGGTCAGAGCTGGCTTCACTTGGGCACGTGCTCAGATGTTGCTCCTAATAAATAACTGGATTTCTTTTGAAGCTTGGCTCGAGGCTCAAGATTTAATTAGGGCATCCGTCGGAACCCTGACACTAACTATCCATCTTGTACTGTTGACAACATGGACTCTGATCCACAAAAGGCTGTACACTAATAACATTTGGTAGCTTTTCTGGAGCCCCAAATTAATGTTAGGATATTACGTGCTATATAGAGAATTCTTAATGTGAGCCAGGAATTGTAGCGTAAAAGCTTAGACGCACAGGCTGTTTTGAGTGAGACTGTACTTGAAACACCAAGAGTCATTTCCTCTTTGTGGAGACAGCTTTTTCCACTTCTGTCAACGCACAAGCCACACCTCAAATATTCACATGGGGGCTAGTTTGGAGGAAGCACGAAGTTTCATAGACACACCACTGTGTTGCTGATTTTCTTTGCAAACTATGAGCAGGGAAGCTCACGTGATTAGTACAATGGCCTGACAGTTGGCAAGCTCATGTTTGAGACATGGTTGAGGCTGTGGGATGGAGTGAGCTGTCACTCGCTCCAGCTCCTGCCAACCCAGCAGTTCGAAAGTGAGTGATTGCGAGTAGATAGATAGGTACCAGTTCAAATGTAGCTAAATGGGGTTGTGAAAGGAGCTCCCAACGGGCATCCCCATGGCGATGGTGATGTCACCAGCTTTCCACTTGGAAACACTTCGAAACTACTAACAGGAATGTATTGTTTTGACCTAGGCTTCCTTAACAAGCATGAAGTAAAGTTTTGGTCCCAGCAAAATCTCTTTTATTTACACAACTGTGGATTCCTTTCATTCACAGTCAGCAAGGCTTGGCAAACAGTCTTTCAAAGGAAAGGGTTCGAATCCCAGTAAGGGTATGGCTAGCTAATGAGAGCTAAATAGCTTGAAATAGATCTATACTAGTCTCCCTTTATTTATTTATCAGTAGAAATATAACACAAATGTAACAAAGGCAACAGTAAAAATATTGGGTTTCTGTTTGGATGGTATCTTATGACGAGCCGATGGACAGAGAATGGGAGCAGTGAACTTCCTCCCATATTTGGGCATACCAGGGGTTGTGACTTTAAATATATATAGCTTCCATATTATCCCAAGCTATATCAGATAAGCAGGCTGTTGTAGAAGCAGAGACACATTAGATCATCTGTTCTGTATCCTTTAAAACATCCTTTGCTCCCAGGGAATCGCTTGCTCACTGCAACGGATAATTTGCAACTGTGGGCCCCTCCTGCTAAGGATGTGTTGGAAGAAGAAGACGAGGAAGGAGAAGATAATCCTGACCTTGGGGTCAAAGATGAGAAAAGCTACCCTGTTCTAAATGATTGGAAATGCATCTGGCAATGCAGGTAAGCAAAAGTAGAAAAAGAAAAATTAGCTTCAGGAAACATTTGTGTCTTTAGCTTACTAGTGATCCAGTCATCCAGATGGGGTTCCAGATTTGCTGTGAAAAAGTACAATTCAGGGTAGCAGAAACACCAATAGGAAAGGTAACCATTTCTCAGTGCGTTTCAAATTGCAAAGACTTTTCTTCAAGAAGAAGGCTATTTAAAAACCTTGGCTGTTTCAGAAAGCC